TGTTCCAATGCCCTCCAGGGGGCAGTATGGACTGCTACCTCCTTTTCAGGGGGAAAAACATCACACCATGCCCCTCCCTCTCTGCCCACCCTGGCACTTCAAAGCTTTTGTGCACTGGTCCAGAATCTAGATAAAGTGTTAGCCTCTGCCTTTGCAGCCCCTCTGGATCAGTCCGTGGCCATCAGTATCCCTACTTTGGGCAACACTGTTCTACAGCAGGGGTCCTCAAACTTATAAAACAGGGCCCAGTTCACTGCTCTTCAGACCCGTTGGAGGGCCGGATTGTAGTTTAAAAAAAACAACAACGATGAACAAATTCCTATGCACACTGCACATATCTGATTTTGAAGTCAAAAACAAAACAGGGCAAAAACACCCGGCAGGCCGGATAAATGTCCTTGGCGGGCTGTAGTTTGAGGACCCCTGTTCTAGAGGGTCAAACACCAAACTTAGGATCATTAAGTCTATTCCAACACATGGCAACCCTATAGGACAGGGTAGAACTCCCCTTGTGGGCTTCTGAGGCCATAACTCTTTATGGGAATAGAAAGCTCCATTGTTCTCCCACAGAGCAGCAGGTGGTTTTGAACTTCTGGCCTTGTGAATCACAGCCTAATGTGTAACCATTACCCCACCAGGGCTCCTCTAGAGGGTCCAAGGTCGGGCAATATGAATGTTCAAATCTGTCTTTTGAATCACAGATCCTAAAGACAGACGAAACCCCCCTGAGCAAAGAAATCTTCAAAAGGTAGGCAGACACCTCTTAAGCACATTTAAGCCATGTTTTACCAGAATCTTATGCTGACCTGTATTTTGGAGCAATGCTTCATCTTATCCTCTTGAGGTATGGTATTGGTGACTACTACTGCTTCAAAGCATGCATTGTTGATGCGGGAAATGGCGGGGCCAGAAAAGATTCCGTGAGTCAAGATGGCGTAAACTCTGGTCGCTCCAGCTGAGAGAAGTCTAGGGGAAAAAAGGCAGAGTTGACTTGGATTAATCTTGCCACTCTAGGATCCGAGTTAGGCAGAAGGAGAAAGAACTGGACTAGGAACAGATCGACTATTATTCTGGCAAACCTGTGACAGCCATTCTGTTATATTTTGCTTATGCTTGTGAACATTGGGGTGTTTTCTAGTAAATCAAATGAAGGGAGGTTGAGCCTATAAGGAAACATAACAAGGACTGTGGGAGCCCAAAACTCACCTGCAGATGGGTTTTGGGCTCCGATTGTCCTCCACAGCCTTCTACCAAATTGGGGGCTCATAACTTTAGCTCTGTCATTTTTATAAAAGTAGACTGCCACATCTTTCTCCCACAGCTAGTATGTTCCAACCACCAGTCTTTAAGTTAGCAGCTGAGTGCTTTTAAGCACTATGCCCCTGAAGATCCTTATGATGAAGAAAACACGCTCAGTGCTATCAAGTCAATTCCAGCTCATAGTGACTCCACAGGACAGAGTAGAAATGCCCCTATGGGTTCCCGAGGCTCTAACGCTTTATAGGAGCAGAAAACCTTACCTTTCTCCCATGGAACGGCTGGTGGATCCCAATTGGTAACCGTGAGGTTAGCAGCCCAATGTATAACTGAGTGACTATCCCACCAGGGCTCAGTTATGAAAAGAGGAAAGAGACAGAAAAAGACACATAGGGAAAAACAGCTATGTGAGGATGGAGAAAAAGATTGTAGTGATGTTGCTACCAGTCAAGGAATGCCTGAGGCCATGAGACAAGGAAGGTCCTTTGAGTATTGACTTGAGAGAGTATGAGACTGCTAAGAACCTCCTTTTGGACTTACACTCTTTAAAACCTTAAGAATATATTTTTAAGGCTACCTAGAGTTTGGAACGTTGTCAAAGATTCTATAGCAGAGCCTTGATCAAAAGGGGGGAATTGTGGTACAGAATTTAAGACACAGAATTTAAACTTTCTGGAGCCATGAACTCCTAAACCTACAATTCTGAGATAATCTTTAAACCTGAAGCCAAAAATATCCTCTGCAGTCTTCTTCAAACCAAACAATAGTTTAGCTTAATTAGGAAAAATGTCTGCCTTGAGCATCATGCTCTCCTAAGATCTATACGGGATAAAATTGACAACAGAAACCCAAAGGATTAGCTAGGATGAGTTCACGTTAATGAGGAAGGAGCAACCCAGAAAGGGAGCGTGTACAACGTGGAGAATGGAGAAAGCAATCACTGTCACTGAAATGTACGTGCAGAAACTTGAATTGGTGTGGGTTTTGCTGTGATTATTCTCAACAATGAAAGAAACACTTTTTGGAAAAGCCATCCTAGTATCAGCAGTAACAGAAATACCACAGGTATTTTAAGAAACAATTTTTTAAAAAGAAAAGAAACCAAGTTTATTTTCTGACAGTTTAGGAGGCTATAAGTCCAAAATTGAGGTGCAGGCGCTAGGGGTAAGCTCTCTCTCTCCTGGCTCTGGAGGAAAGCCCTTGTCTCCTTTCAAGATCTGTGGGGGTTGGTGTTCCTTGAATGTCCTTGAAAGCATTTTGGAAGCAACCTTCCCCTGGGTCTCCAGCACAGGGATTCTGCTCCTGACTTTTCTTTCTGGGTGGCAGTAGGGTCCTTTTGATCTTTGTTCCCTTGTTTATATCTCTTTTGAATCTCAAAAGAGATTGACTCAAGATACAACCCACTCCAGGAAATGGTCCCTTGCTCATTAGCATAACAACCTCAAATCCGACTTCAGAGGTTAGGCTTTATAACACATAGGAGAGATAATGCTATCAGATCAGATCACAAAACAGAGGATCGATACATAAGAAGAATCAGAGCCAAGGCAAGCTGATACATATTTGGTAGGAACACACATATCTTGAACATTACTCCAGGTTGGGGCAGCCCTAGGAAAGCTAGGACCGAATGTAAGGGAGGGAGATCAGCAATTGACATCCAAGAGAACAGGGAGCAAGCAAGTTCACACAGTACAAGAACTAAAAGCAAACCCACAGCAAACTCATTATAACTCAGTGGGCGTGACCGGATAGGGCATGGAAGAACTGGCCCCGCGAGTTTCGAGAGTGTAACTCTTTTTTCTCCCTTTTTCTAATAATTTTGTTGGGGGCTCATACAGCTCGCATCACAATCCATCCATCCATCGTGTCAAGCACATTGGTACATTTGTTGCCCACATCGTTTTCGAAACATGTTCTTTCTACTTGAGCCCTTGGTCTCAGCATTTTCCCCCTCCCTCCCTCCCTCCCTCCCTCACGAACCCTCGATAACTTATAAATTATTATTTCTTCATGTCTTACACTGACTGATGTCTTCCTTCACCCACTTTTCTATTGTCCATCCCACAGGGAGGGGGGCTATATGCAGATCACTGTGATCGGTTTTCCCTTTGTCCCCCCCTCTCCCCCCGTATCACTACTCTCATTATTGGTCCTGAGTGGTTTATCTGTCCTGGATTCCCTGTGTTTGCAGCTCTGATCTGTACTCGTGTACCTGCTGTGGTCTACCCGGATTTGTAAGGTAGAATTAGGGTCATGATAGGGTTGTGAGGAGGAAGCACTAAAGAACTAGAGGAAAATTGTATGTTTGATTGGTGCTATACTGCACCCTGACTGGCTCGTCTCTTCCTTGTGACTTTTATGTAAGGGGATGCCCAATTATCTACAAGTGGACTTTGGGTCTCCACTCTGCACTCCCCCTCATTCACACTGATACAATTTTTTGTTTGGGGTCTTAGGTGCCTGATACCTGATCCCACTGACACCTCATGATCACACAGGCTGGTGAGCTTCCTCCATGTGGGCTTTGTTGCTTCTCAGCTAGATGGCTGTTTGTTTCTCTTCAAGCCTTTAAGACCCCAGGCGCTATATTTTTGATAGCCGGGCACCATTAGCTTTCTTCCCCACATTTGCTATGCACCCATTTTAAGACTGTAACTCTTTATGGGAGTAGAAACCCCCATGTTTCTCCCATTAGCTAAGGCAATAACAGCTAAAATGGGCAGTTGAAAAGTAAAACTAGGATTTATTATTAGCTTAAGTAGCATAGACATAGGAAGGTATTGTTCTATATTCCCAGACCGAGGAATGCCTCCTTTGTTGTTTGTTTGTTTTAAATAAAGCAAATGTGGTGTGTCTAGATCAATGAAAATCCCTCTTAAGTTCTTATCATGCCTCCCAACTAAATCCGCCACCGGCCCAACAGCTCCACGCTCACTTGTCAGCTGCATGGCAGATTGTGCCGCAGGTATCGGCCATGTCGTCCACCAGGATGGCCACTCGGTCCTTCACGTCTCCCACGAGCACCATGCGGTCCACTTCGTTGGCCTTCTTCCGTTCTTTGTGAATCAAGGCGAAGTCCACATTCAATCGGTCTGCAATGGACGTAACTCTGTCGAACAAGGGATGCTCAAGAGTTAAAACCCAGGTGTGCGGCTTAGATGACAGACGAAACAGACTACAGGCTGAAGAAGGGGCTTGTTTTCTGGGATAGCAAACACACCGACACCAAACAATGCTCAGGGCTAAGAGAAAATAACTACCATTTACTGACTTCTCAAAAGGCAAACATCAAAGACAGGGTTTTATAGTAAAAAGAGTATCTCCATATTCTGAAGGTATTGAGTCGATTCGGACTCATAGCAACCACATAAAGACAGAGTAGAAAGGCCGGACTCACAGGAACCGCATAACGACAGAGTAGAAAGGCCCCAAAGGGTGTCCTAGGCTGGAATCATCATGGGAGCAGATTGCCAGGGCCATCATGGAACCATTGGGTTGGGTCAAACCGCCAACCTTCTGGTTGAAGGCTTAACCACTGCACTGCTACGGCTTCTTTATATTCTAATAATAGGTGATAAATGTCTTACTGAAACTTGGAGAACTAGGTTAGTGTCGCAGACAGAAAGATACCCTTATCCTGGAAAGTGGTCTGATGTTAAAGCACTGCGTTGTTTGTTTTCTTTTGCTAAACCCTTTTTATTTCATGAATTGGCTGTGGAAAGGCCGAGAATGAAGGCTTCTCTAACACCTCAAGTACACAGACAGGTCCAATTCATACAATGTAAGAGCTGTGGAGGGGGATTATGGCTAGGAAGTGAACCTGACCATGGCAGGAGAGTAGCAGTGCCCAGACTATTCTAATGCCCACACCCTCATCAAACTCCTTGTAATGATGGCAGCAAAACACCTATGACCTGTGAATGTGAACTGGAACCTGGACCTCAAGCTTAGAATTTCCTGCTAGAAAGAAAGATATTATCAGTTAACTGAGCAGAACCAGCAACTCACTGTACAACCCAAATTATCTCCAAGTCCAAACCCTAAGGCAGTTCTCTTTCTGACTGGGTTGTTGGTTAGGAGTCAGAACTGACTCAATGACGGTGAGTAGTAAGTAGATCACACCAACAACCAACATTAGTGTCTCCAGGGACAGACTGTGAGCATTCCCCTTGAAAATGGGAACCAGATCAGGATGCTCAGTGTGAACCCTCTTATTCAACATTGTACTGCAAGTCCTACACAGAGCCAAGAAGAGGAAGTGTGGGCCATGCAATTTGCTGCGGAAGAAGGAAAAGCATCTCCATTCCCAGATGATATTATCCTGAACATAGAAAATTGCGAAGATTCCATAAGAAAAGTTGCTGGAACAAAAGGAGAATCCAAGAGAGGTCTGTCTTTGAGGCCAGCCCCAATCCCAACTATGTTGACACCCACCTCTCCCCTCCCAGAAGAATGCACTCCAGAGGACAGCACTGAAGCTACGGCTTGGGGAGAGGGGCCCATCTGATCAGGGCACACAGGAGCAAACGAAGAGGGAAGGAGAATGGAACACATCCTGGCCCACCAAGCCCCAAGGACGATATTCTTTCTCAGAACAGCCCATGCACGGAGAGGATCACAGGGCCAGCCTCAACACAAGACCCTCATTGATCCATAGCGCTACGGGGGACAACACTGGAGACAGCACGGGAATTGTGCCTGATCTGACCCCATCACACTGGGGCGAAACGCTAGGGGCGTGCAACAGAGCAGCAAGGGGACCAAAGCAATTAAATCCCCGGGAAATACCAAAAACAGACTTTGGGGCCAGGGTGTGGCACCCCATCAGATTCAACTAGAAAACACGCCTAAAGGTCAACAAACACACCTGGAACTATTCACTGCTTTTCTTTTTGATCTTGGCTTTTTGTTTGTTTTCTTTTGCTCTGCCTTGGTTTTTGTGGTTTTGGTTGTCTCTGCATGTCTATCTGGATAAGATAGGCAGATAGACATCCAGAGAAAACAGTGGGACTGAGGTTTCTGGGAGGTGGCATACATAGGAGGGGAGACAGGGAAAGGAAGTGGGTGTTAACAAACCCAGGGACAAGGGAACAACAAGTGTTCTAAAATTAATGGCGAGGAAGGCATAGGATAGGGCTTGATCAAGGGCAATATAAACAAGAGGAATTACCGAAACCTGAATGAAGGCAGAACATGATAGTAGGATAAGAGGAAAGTAAAAGGAAATAGAGAAACGAACTAAGAGGCAAAAGGCATTTATAGAGGTCTAAATACAGACAAGTACATACCTAAATATATTGATATATAATGATAGGGCAGTAGATCTAAGTACAAATATTTATATGTTAAGTATTAAGGTAGCAGATGGACATTGGGCCTCTACTGAAGTACTCCCTCAACACAAGGACACTTTGTTCTAATAACCTGGCATTCTGTGATGTCCAACTTCCTGACACGATAGCTTAAGACAAAATGGATGTATTGCAAATGTGGTGAAGAAAACAGATGGTGCCCAGCTATCAAAAGACACAGAACGCCTGGGGTCTTAAAGGCTTGAAGACAAACAAGCGGCCACCTAGTTGAGATGCAACAAAGTCTACATGGAAGAAGCACACAGGCCTGTGTGTTCATGTGGTGTCAATGGGATCTGGTATCAGGCATCAAAGACCCAGAACAAAAAAATTACATCAATGTGAATGAGGGGGGAGGCGTGGAGTAGAGAGACCCAAAGCCCATTTGCAGACAATTGGACATCCCCTTACAGAAGGGTCACAAGGAAGAGACGAGCTAGTCAGGGTGCGATAGAGCACCGATGAAACACACACTTTCCTCTAGAGTTCTTTCATGCTTCCCCCCACTCCCTCACTATCATGACCCCAATTCTGCTTTACAAATCTGGCTAGACCAGAGCATGTACATGAGTACAGATAAGAGCTGGAAACACAGGGAATCCGGGACAGATAAACTGCTCAGGACCAACAATGAGAGTAGTGATACCAAGAGAGGAAAAGGTGGGTGGGGGGGGAGTGGGAACTGATCACAATGATCTACATATATCCCCCCTCCCCCCGTGGGACAGAAAAGTGGGTGAAGGGAGACATTGGTCAGTGTGAGACATGAAAAAATAATAACAATTTACAAATTATCAAGGGTTCAGGAGGGAGGGAGAGAGAGGGGGGGGAAAGGAGGAGCTGATACCAAGGGCTCAAGTAGAAAGAAAACGTTTTGAAATGATGATGGCAACATATGAACAAATGTGCTTGACACAATGGATGGATGCACGGATTGTGACAAGAGCTGTATAAGCCCCCAATAAAATGAGTTAAAAAAACAAACAAATAGGAAAATCCAGCTAAGCAGCAGAATACAAGATCAGCATAGAAAGATCAGTTGGATACTTCTCCAGCAGTGTTTCCCATGGTGGCTGATACGACAATTCTCTTGAGGGCTGCAAAAGCAGAGGACTCAAGTTTATCCTGGATTATGGGCTACCGTACAAAAGTGTTTAATTAACAGGGGGGAGTGTGAAGTAAATTTTTCATCTGCAAAGAGGAATGTGGACCCAATAAGTTTGGAATACCTGGGGTTGAACCACTTTTGACACGGAAGAGCCAATCGTGTCCCTCGTGACAATTTAAAAATGATTTACGAGCTAGAAACATATTTCTTAGAAATAAGAACATTTAAAGTAAAATTGGAAATGAAACTAGGATAGTTTCATTTCCAATTTTACTTCAGAGCCACGTGTACGGGCAACCCCTGCTCTATACAGGGAAGTGAAATTTCACACATAGCCAAATAGCTCTTGGGACTCCAAGACGAAGTACCATAGACTGGGGGAATATGTCCATTAATTGGCAGGACATAGGTAATAAAATATTTTGTACCTTACTTTGGTTAAGTCTGGGACCCTACCAGCTAAGATACAACTGTTGATCTCTTCCCATCCAGAGTAAAGGAGAGTTAAGGAGAACTGGAGACTCAAGGGAGCAATCAGCCCAAGGGACTAATGGACTGGATGACCACCACTTACATGACCATCACACCAGAAGAATTAGATGGTGCCCAGTTAATACTACGGACCTACTCTGACTGGGATCAACATAGAGGATCCCAGGCAGAGAACAACAACAAAAACCAAATTCAATAAAAAGACTTGGTCTGGCAAAGACGGGAAACTTTCAAGACTATAGCCCTAAGATACCCTTCTGACCTTGAAATTAAGCCATTCCCAAAGATGGCTTTTCAGGCAAACAACAGGCCGGTGAAGTAATTGGCACCCAAAGAGGTATGCATTCCTTAGATCAGGTTCACAAGATAAAAGGTTAACATTTGCCTAAAAGCTAAGAGTAGACATGAAGGAGAAATCTAGACAAGACGGGAAGCCCCAGTGGAAACACAACATAGAAATGGCACACAAACAGAGCACGTGCTGGAGAAATGGAGCACGTTCCCATCTGGAAAGATGGGAACGTAAACCACCCATAAAACATCAACAATCAAAGCCTCCTGTCTCTTTGTGTGTGAAGAGGGAGCGTTGGGACTAGCAAGCAGCGTCGCTTACACTGTATGAATGAACGAATGAATGAATGCATTGTTTGGTTGACAGACATGATAGCTTGTCACCAGACTGGTTTGGATCACCTTGGGTTCCAATTGCTGACCTTGGGCAGCAGCCCAACATGTAACCCACTATGCCACCAGTGTACTTTATTGTTAGGTCCCATTGAGTCAGCTCCTACCCACAGCCACCGTGTCCAGTCCTGGATCTGCCTCACAATTGCTCCTATGGCTGTACTTGTCCCATAAAGTACTCCGCACATGCCCTTTATTATGGTGAGGAATTTACCTCTGATTCACATTTTCCTGAGCAATAGTTTTGTAGGGTCCTGAAAGAACCCTTCCCCAGTGACTATGGTCACAGATCTGTGTTTCCGTTTGGCCTGTGACCAAATGAGAATATATAATGTGTGAACAACCTAGCCATCGTGGGTACCTTGATCGAAATCAACAGGTACCTTGTGATCCCCAACTCTGGGGAGAAAACCCTCTCTGGTTATTCTAAATGGGACAAAATATTTTCAATGCCCCGTGGGCAAGGTGTGAGACGCGCACTCAACCAGTTCAGGCAAGCGGGGCAGCCATTTGTGAGGGAGGGGTGGGAAGTAGGTGTTTTTTTAGGTAACTGGTGACATGATCTTACATTTTGGTAAGAGGGCACAGGACAGAATTCTCAGCTTATCAAGTCAGTGGAAGTTACTGAAATGCCAGCGTTGCTGTGAAACAGCCAGAGAAGATTTGACTCAGAGAGTTCGGAATTAGCTTTTCCTAATCATCTGTGCTTTCTAGCTCACCATTCTATTTCCACAACGAGAACATGTGTCAAGCTCATCAATGCATTCCTAATGAGTAATCCACTAAGGAAATCAAGAGCTTTTAGCCTGTTCCACGTGGGCCTCTGTATTAAGCACTGTAACTCAACCTTTGGCAATTAGCCTGTTTAAAGATTTCAGGTCTTGACTTCCAATAAAAATTCCATCCTTTATTTATGTTCCTTCCTGGTCTTTTTTTTTCTTCTTCCCCTTCTCAGTATGCACACAGACACACTTACCAAGGAAGATTGGATGAAGCATTAGCTACAGTGCAAGCTGTAGAGAAATCTTCCTGTTATTGTACTTTAATCTCAAGGATCAAAATGGTCTAGCCAACAGCATTATAATAGGCACAGAATAGCTTACTTTTCCACTGATAGCATCTGGCTTGATAGCAGTAGCCTTTTACGGGCAGGTGTACAGGTGTACAGCTGTGGCGGCAGCAGGACCTAGTTCCTCGTGCGTTGCGGGAAAGCCCACAGCGGCCTGGCTTTCTAGGGGCCCCTTTGTTCCTTGTCTTCTGTTGGGTCAAAAGGAGTCCTCCCACATGTCTCGTCCATGGCCTCCCCCAGACTACTCCCTTCCCCCCTTCAAGGTGTAGTGCCAGAGCTGATCACCGAGAACACTTTGGCGCCAAGGCCATTTTGATCAGAGGTGCCGTTCCTTCCCAGGGCAGCAGTTCTGGGAAGGCCTGACTCCTTCCCCTTTCCCTTAGAGAATATACAAAGTCTTGCTGGCTGGGGGTGGAGTGTGGGGACTACGAATGCAGACCAAGCCCTTAACCTGCTGGTCACGAGGTAAACAAGCAGTACTAGTACCGCACCTCTCCGTACATCATTTTTCCATAAATAATAAAGCCCGTGTCTCCCAGGGTGATGGTTCACTTCCCTGGGATCTCAGTACCTAGAAATTGAGAAAGACTATCCCTGTTCAAAACATTTGCTCACATCTTCCAAGTAGTGAATCGGGTCCAAGCAAAACTACACCCAACCCATGGCCTAGTTATCAGTACAACCATTCTGAAGTACTTCCAAACACTATCGCTTAAGATAGGAAAACGTTACTTTTTGTTTCGAAAGGGAACCACCCCAGTCTTCTGAGAGACTGTCCCAGGAGAACGAAACCACGACTCATTTCAGTCATACCTCTTAGCTCCACCAGCATCGGGGGAGACAATAGTGCAGTTCCTCCACTCGGAGATATTCTCCCTGATCCACTTCAGCACAGCTGGCTCGGCATACAAATTATCCACTGGGATATCAAAAAAGCCCTGCAGTGAAGAGGCTGGATTACTTTAGCTTCATTAAAGGGCTTCAATCCATGACTGACTAACACAAAGGCAATCACTGCTTGCTCAAAGAAGACCTTCCTGGAACATTCAAATTCATGGGAAGGCAGGCCAGTGGGGCAGACTGGAACTGGGCTTATCAGGGCTGTATGAAAGCCCAGACCGGAGCAGCAAGGCAACCCTCCAGGCCAAGCCACAACTGATCGTGTGCACATAAATGAGCCCTTGCGGGGAACAGCTCAGACCAGCCGAATCGTCTAGCCAACCTGCAGACTCAGGACAGAAATGGATACTTACTGCTTTATGCCACAGAAATGCTGGACTGGTTTGTTAAAGGGCAAGAGCTAACTGGTCAGTCGTTCAGAGATGCTAGGCTACTCACATGCATCAGGTGGCCGCGACTTGTTATAAATCACCAGCTCATCTATGTTCTAATTCTTATGGCTACAAATTTGTTCCTCTTCTGTAAAATGGGTATAGCATCCTGTCCCACGTACCTCAATGGGCAGCCGTATAAGACTCAGCGGCTAATGATTTTAAAGTCTCTCTGTTTTAAAAGTATAGGCTATAACATGCTACTGTACTCCCTTTACTCTGGGTTTATGGGAGGGAGGAACGAATGTTTTGGGCTGTAAATTTAAGATCCTGAAAACTCAGGAATGACAATGACAACAGCTCCCATTGTCTGAGTGCCTGTTCTGTGCTACACATTATATAGCTGACCCCTGAACAACTTGGGTTTGAACTGTGTCCAGTTATCCATGGAATTTTTTTTTCTTGAACGCCATGTGCTGCTAATCATCTCCAGGTGAGCACGACGTCTCTCCAGCATAGTGCACAACACTGAACAAAGGGATTTCTGTCTTGGCTTTCATGTATTTTTCCTCGCATATAGTACAGTACCATAAACCTTGAATTACACCAGGAGGCCCAGTACAGCACCCCTCATGGTGCTGGAAGTGCTCCCACAAAGCAGAGAACAGTTATGTCATGACAAGGAACAGTTGAATTGCTTCGTATTGGACCATACATAGATTGAAGCTTGCAGCTGCGGTTGCATGCCATTTCAAGATAAAGGAATCAAACACAAGGACCAGAGATTAAAAAAAAAATTTTAAGGTACATTTGTGAAACCATAACTACAGCTATATCACCAGGTGCAGCAAACACCTTGTACTTTTTGCCAAATACTTTTTCAACTCGTGTTGCAAATGGAGCTTTGATGTTAGGGGCAGTGTGTTATATGATCCACAGCATACAAAGTATGTGCTAACCAACTGTTTTATATTATCGATAAGGCTTTTGGTCCACAGTACGCTATTAGTAGTTCAATTTGGGGGGGGGGCAAAAGTGATATGGGGCTCTACAACTGCACAAGGAGTTGACACTGTTAACCTGTGTTTTCCAGGGACAGCTTTTCTATGAATCCATTCCCGTACCTTCCGACTCACGAAAGACAGCATTTTACCGAATATGATCATGAAAGTGAGTGCACAGAGACGTTCAATAACCTGCCCAAGGTTATAAAGCCAATTAAGCGAGAGCCAGTATTTGAACCCAGGTCTGCTCCCAAAGCCTCCCTCGCTAACCAGCCGCTAACAACTAAAATCAGGAACTATGCTTCGGGGGAATGGGCTCTACAAGTTGGTGAGGCCTAGTGCACTTGAGCTGTGCTTGGGCACAGGTTGTTCTCTGCAGTCTTCAACATTACCAGTTCTCAGGAAGGAGCTGCCGTTAGTACCTGAATTTGAGATGCATGTAGATCCATGGTGATAATGTGATCTGCACCTGCTACAGAGAGCATATTTGCGACAAGCTTGGCTGAGATTGGGGCCCGGCTCTATAGAGAAAAAGGAAACAAGAAAGAGCAAACACTCGATTTGAGTAGTAGTTCATTCCTTCAACTGCACCGCCCCCCAACAACAACATCAAACAAACAAACACACAACCACTGCCAGAGTTCACTCATAGTGACCCTATATTAGGTTTCCGAGACGGTTTATCTTTATAGGAGTGGGCCGCCTCATCTTTCATCCAGAGTGAGTTTGAGCTGCCAACCGTGTAGTAGACAGTCTGATGCTTAACTCACCAAGGTTCAAAAGGCTTTTAATTAATGTGTACCTACTAAATTCAGGGCACCCAGTGGCCAGGGAATTGATCTAAATAGACATGCCACTGACTTGCAACAGTATTAAGTTGATCATCTCTTTCCCAATTTGGGAAACATTTCAAAGAAGAAAATAGCTCTTATGGTCTTAACATAATGCACACAGCTATTTTCTGTCTACTCCAGGGTTTCTTATGCTTATAACTGTGGAAGAAACCAGATTGGGGGGCACAGTGGCTACTGCCGTGGACTCAATCAAACAGTTGTGAGAACTGTGCAGTATTGAGCAGGGGTTTCTTGTGTTGTACACAAGGTCAAAACCGGACTCCGTGGACCCTAACAACACAGTATCAGGGTACTTACGAAGAAGTCACACATGTATGAATTCTATAGGCATACAGATCACAAATGTGATGTTTTATATAAGCCATATGAAGGGGGTTCAAAAAGCTAGCGGGAAAACTCCATGGCCTTTTTCAATTCCACTCTTCCATAAAGTTTTTGAAGTCCCCTCTATTTCTGTTTTTGGTGGGTAAGGGCAATTTCTAATGGAACCTGTATTTGATGATTAAGGGATTTGGGTGTGTGTGACTTTGGTCAAGTGTTTCTGTTTCCTCTGCTAGGGGGGGAGGGAGGAAGGGGCAGGGGAAGGGAGAAGAGAAAGGAGCGTAAAGAAAGAAAGAAAGCAGGGAAGGAGGGTGGGAGATACTGTCCTACCTTATCCTTCTTATCCTGGCGAGCATAAGGGAAACACGGAATGACCGCAGTCACCCGGCTGGCGGAAGCAATCTTGCAGGCATTAATCATGATCAAAAGTTCCATT